CTCATTTGATTTGACCCAAGTTGGAGTAAATAGCATAAAAATGGTTAATTATGAATTTTATCTAATTCCATTCAATGATTAAATACTCTTTTTTAAAAAAGATTGATTTTATTTCTAAAATTTCTATATAATTTTTGAAAAATATTATAAAAGTATTATCCATTAGTGCTTTTTGTAAAAATATATTATCTTAAATAAATAAAAAGTGTGAACAACAGAGCTCCGTTACTGAGAACCTATTATTTGTAATAATAGATGAAAAGGGATTAATTTTTTTCATTAATGCTAAATAACGAATCATGAAACAAAAGTGTTTCAAATGATTACACAACTGTTTATTATTTTAAAATAGTTCTAAATTTAATATGTATGGCGCATTCCCACAAATGACGTTTTGTATCTCATCAGGGAATATTTGTTCGCTAAAATTGAGCTATTTAAAAAAATTTTTTTTAAGGTTGGAAAGAAAAATCTTCCGTACAATAATCGGAACGATTTCGGATCGGACAACTAACGCATGGAGGAGAAGTGCCAATAAAGAACTGCATACAGAAACTAGACAATCCAAATTTCATGGTATGAAAGATATTAAGGTTATGATAGGATGTCCCATATGTGTCTTCTTTTTTTTTATTTTATTTTTTGCGAAGTAAATAGACGATTTTTGTGGTTTAAAGTTAATTTACTGTGGTATATATAAACTGTTCTGCTCTAATACCTTCTTCCATCTCTCTGGAAGTCTCATTATGCCCACTTTCCTAAATTGTTGAGACTTACTTGCTAAATATTCATTGTGGTACATTTTTATTTTACTTTCGGATTTGTACTTTTATCACGGAGAGAATTCTTAACGAGAGAAACAGGAAATCATCGGATGGGGCATGGTTTGGAGAGTAAGGAGGATGAGGTAGAACCTTCCAGTCATACTGTAAGAGTTTCTGTCTTACGGCTAACACAACATACGGCGTTATCGTCATGAAAAACTATATCTTCTCGGTTTACCAACTCTGTTTCTCAGCGAGGGTGGCTTTCAATTTATCGAGTTTGTTGAAATATTTTACATATTAATTTTTTTTATTTTCTTTTTTGCTATAAGATTTTAAATAAAATTCTATTTTGCCAATATGACGACTCAAATCAATTCCATAAACGGGCAAAAGATAAGTCTTCATCTTTACAAGAGTTGTCGGCTCGAGGCCATACATATCGTGTCGCGGAAAAAAAAATATGAGACACCCTAATAGTTTTGAGCAATCCATTACAAAGCTTGTACACAAAAATGAATTGTCCTATAGTAGCAAAAATACCACGTTGAAGGCCAAAAAGTAGATAAATGGATCGAATCAGAAAAGATGAAATAGAGCAGCATGTAGATAACTGGAAAGATATAGTCTAAGATAGGGCTGGAGAGATCGAGAAGGCTAGTTGAGGAGAGAAACATCTACAAGGTCTACAAGCCAATAGAAAAAAAGTAAAAATCTATTAAACTATGCAGACAATTATAATCATTCTCAAACGAGTATTAGAGATCTTTTAGCATATTTATATTTTCGAGCTATGAAAATCCAAAGGAAATCGAATTTCCAATAGAATATATTTATGAGATATTCGCTAATAAAGTATGGTATTTATCAAACAATTTATCTACCTCTTTTTCGAAGAAGTATGCTGTTTACATAAATTTTTAGAGTTTGAAGGTGAATACTTCAAGTAATTTTTTTATGTTCTTCCCCACCTCGCATTATAGGCTATACGGGATTTTCCCGGGCCGGAGAGTGAAGGCGGGGAATTTAAAATCCCCTCAGGCACCGGGACGCGAACTCGTACTTTTTTTTTCATCTCATAACTTCGGTTATCTGATAGTCGGGCAACACGATGTGCTGTGCACATGCTTTAGTCCATTTGGCCAGCCCGCCCCCAATTTACAGCTATTTTGTTGGTACAGTCTATAGAAACATATTTTTCAAGTTTTAATCTTGAAACGAAACGGCGGATGGTGATCAGACTCCCAAAGGGCATTTCTTTTACATTAACTCAACATACATACAAAATTTCAATCTTATATGATTTATCAGGCTATTAACATGTGCAATACATTAAAATACGGAAAAAGTGCAAAGAAACGTTCGTACACGCTGAAATTGTGACGAAAATTATACAAACTTTTTAGTATTGTTGTGTTTAAAAACCAACTCTAAAGATGGTATGCATATCACCTTCTCTAACTCCACTTGAACGCTTCTTCAAAAAGGAATGCTTTTATAAAACTTTATAAAAAAGGACTCATTTCAACCACTTTGATAGCAGAGACGCTAATAAAGCAGCATTATTGTAAATTTAAAACGTCCCCCCTCCTCTGGTGATCTTTGAAACAGTGCGAAGTCTATTATTTTCAAGGAAAATAAACAATGAAATAGATAATAAAAAAATCAGATTGAAATGGATTAGCAAGTTAACAAATGCAGTAAATAATCTAATATCCGAACTATTCTTGATTTATTACTTTTTTTTGTTTAAAGAAATTAGGTTTGGTGTTGAAACATTTTCCAAGATAAAATATTAAACCAGAAATTGAAAAACTCCAATCTTTATTTAGCATAACATTTATTGTATTTAAAAAAATAGAAACTATACTGTTGTAAAATGTACTGTTTATATGCAAATTTAATGCTCATAATTTAAAATCTATTAATTTTGGTTTATTATTTTCAATAATGAATCATTGTAATCGACTTAAAAGTTCAAAAATTTAACCTCTCCCTCAAAATTTGAGTATTTTTTTACTGAATACACCAACCAACTTCTCTTCACTACAGTCAACCATCAATCCACTATTTTAAGTATTTACGTTTCGTGATCCGTAGAACTCGAAAATCGAAATTGTCCGTCGTCCACTCTCCACGGATTTTTACCGACACGAATCGCCCGATTTTTAAAAAAAAATTAGAATCAAAGCCCGTGATCATCCGAAGATGACCCCTCTACTTCGACATTACTATCTGCACTTTCCTTTCAAGATTGTCACCGAAAAACCCTTGTTATAGACTGTAGCGCCAATGTGCCGATTTCGATGAAACTTGGCTAAAGTATTCTGGATGCCGTTTAAATATATGTATAGAACATACTTCACCGAAAAGTACTTCTCTTTCAACATGCAGCCGAAAGACCTGTGTCGTATAGACAATAGCGTTTGAACGGATCTTATTTGAAAGTTTACAAATTTCCCCAAAAAAAAAAAAATATATCGCTGAAATTGAACAGTTTTGTGCAAAGACAGGGTGCTGTAAATAATTTTTATATGATCTACTGCAACGCGTATATCCTTTGTTCTGTTTTTAATGTTTTGAAAGAGTTACATCAAATGAAGCAATGTCTATTTTTCTCTAGCAAATCGCCAGTTATAATATATATATTAGGAATCATTTGTTATTTATTCTCTTTGTGAAAAGTATTTTGTGTTTTTTAAATTAATTTTTATTTTTATTGCCTAAAGTAAAGAGCGTTTTTCCCCCCAAGGGATTATTTAAAGGTCGATTTGCCGGACTATTCTAAATTCCGGACTTGATTTGCCATAGTTTAGTCCGGACATATCACATCCTTTTTTTTTTAGTTCAAATTTATTATTTTAATAATTCAGGTATTAAAAAACTAAAATAGAAACTGAATACATATACATACTTACTTAAACCCATATGGACATACTCATCAGAAATATACAGTATCCCTAAAAAGACCTACCTACAAAAACTTCAAAGGTTCCAATCAAAATTATTGCGACTCATAACAAATGCACCTTGGTACGTGACTAACAAAATTTTACATACTGACCTCCACCTTCCAACAGTTAACGATCCTTTATCAACGATTTTACACAAATTTAAACGGATATAATAACAGACTAATAAGAGACATGGCCACAGCTTACATCTCAGAACATGAGGAGGAGACTAAAACGGCGTTGGATGAGAGATCTCCTTCCTTAGACAACCTAAGTAATTGGAACAAGTTAGGGAAGAGGTATTGTTGAGTACTTTCCTTCCTCATGCCTGTCATGTCATTATTTCATGTACCGCCATCACATTTGCTGATTGTCACAAATAAGTTGACAGGCCCGAATACGTTTTTATCGACAAAAAAAAAAAAAAAATTCAGGTATTCTGAAAACTGAATGAAAGCCAAGATATTGTTATTAATGATTGACAAATATGAAAATTACAGAAAAATAGAAAACATTATGTTAATTTTTTAACAATTTCTCATAAGAAAAAAAGAATAGTTTATCAATGTGTTGTTTTGAAATGTAAAATATGTTTAGGGTTGGTAATACTTGTATGATCATATCTGATGTGCGGTCATGAAGATGGGGAAATCATTCAAACGTGGAATATTTATGTTTAAAAAAAATTAAGGGTGAAATTTTATATATATCATTTTTTTAATTGTTGTTTATTGTTAAGGTTTCAATAAGATTTCTTATTTACTTATCTATATTAAACCAAGCTTAACTTTATAATTTTCAATTTAAATATAAGTATATTGCACTTCCACCAAAGTTACTCAAGAATTGCTTACTCAAATATATATGTATCATATATGTGCGATATTGAAATAACGAATTTGAACCGACTGAAGGAGCAATGTAGTTTCAAATATTTTTTGAAGATGAAATAAAATATTTTTGCCACAAATTTTCGCTGAGTGAGGAAAGTGGGTTAATTAATTTATTTTTTTAAAAAAGATGGATTCACGTTTCTATTTGCCTATATCTCAAAAAGTTAAGAAATGTTAATGCACTATTTTCTGTTGTAAGTGCATATAAAAGGGAATGTGCGAATCTGTAAGAGTAGAAAATTTATGTTTACCTCAGATGTTCAATAATGATTATGGCCGAATTTCGACCACTTGGCGAACACTAATATTAGTAATTAATAATAAATATTTCGAATAATTTATATGCAAAAAATAATTTAATGGGAAAAAACACCTATCATAATATATACCTGTGCTCTTCTAATGTTGGCTGGTTGAACGCCGGCGTTTAACTGAGTGATACGAGTTTCTCTTGAGTGGGGCAGCTTTTTAAGAAAGAGTGCTGCAATTAATAATGGAACATTTCTTATATAGACGATAGCTTCAGAGGTGGTAAGAGTTTTGATAACTTTATCAGCAGTCATCGCTAAAAAAAAAAAAAAAAAAAAAAAAGAAGAAGTAAAAAAAAATCTTTAAAAACAATTATAAATTGTTAACATCTTAATCTTTAATTTATCAACGTGATTTTGAACGAAAATAATTGTAGTCGATATTTAAAGATTTCATTGAGAAGGAGAAATATTCAGGAGTTGGGTCGAAGGGGTTTGAATTTATGAGAGGGACAAATTTTGACAGGGTTATATACTTTTGGAGGGAATCATATTATTGTATGGTTACGATTATGGTAGAAACTTTCAACCGAGTAGAAATTTTCGCTTGCACTGTTTTTAAAAAGTGATGAAAAAAAGTTTCTTCCTTAGGAGGGAGGGTTTAATGCGCCATCGACCTTGGGGAGACGGGCATCCCTGTAAATAGTTGTGCATAATTGGGCATTCCATCAAATTTATAGACTAAAAATGTATACTATAATAAAAAATAATGTTATCTTTAGGTCATGCAAAATACTTTCATGATTTGTATTCCACGTAAAAAAGGATTTTTTTTTTTCTTTGGTCTTAATATAACGTTACAAAGGTTTTAGTTTTGCGTCTCACTTAAAGAAAATGTATGGGTATTTTGTACTATACTCAGCATATATAAAGTGAATACCTGGTTCTTCATTGGGTTGCACGAAAAAAATCCAGCATGGATGGCTAAACATGATACTATTATAATTATTTGTTAACACTTTCATTGAATCATTCGCCTTTTAACGATATGTATAGGATATATACTCACTAAAGCTTCGTTGCAGGATATTCCAATATTTGTTTTTTACATATTTATACTAAAGTTGAATTTTTGTGCAAAAAAAAAATAACTTCTCAGATATATAACAAACAAAACAATATTTCTTTGTTTTCCTTTATGACAGAAAAAAATCCTACACAACATAATTAATAACTCAATGTAATTTACTAATAACTACTATTTGTAATATTCTAATTAACACTTAGAATACTTTTTTTTTTTGTCTATAAAATATGTATTTGCGCCTGTCAACAATAAGTTGACAATCAGCAAATGTGATGGCGATAATGATATAATGACATGACAGGCATGGGGAAGGAAAGTACTCAGCAGTACCTCTTCCCTAACTTGTTCCAATTACTTAGGTTGTCTAAGGAAGCAGATCCCTCATCCAACGCCTTTTTAGTCTCCTGCTCATGTTCTGAGGTATGTCAGCTGTGGCCATGTCTCTTATAAGTCTGTTATTATGTCCATGTAAATTTGTGTAAAATCGTCGCTATATGTTGGTCAACTTTTGGAAAGTGGAGGTCAGTATTTAGAGTTTTGTTAGTCACGTACCAAGGTGCTTTTGTTATGAGTCGCAATAATTTTGATTGGAACGTTTGAAGTTTTTGTAGGTGGGTCTTTTTAGCGATGCCGTATATTTGTGATGAGTATGTCCATTTGGGCTTAAGTAAGTATGTATATGTATTCAATCTCTGTTTTAGTTTTAGTTTTGAAGATTTGGCAAAAAGAGAGTAAAGTAGTTTGAGTCGTTTGTTAAGTGTCATACGTTTCACTTTAACATGTGGGCCCCATGTCATCCTTCTGTCGAAGGTGAGTCCAAGGTAAAGTACCTTGTCCGTTTGAGGAATTTGATTGTTGTCAATATAAACTGGAGGACATGTGTTTTTTCGAAGAGTAAATGTTATATGTTTGGATTTGTCATGATTAAGTCGAATTTTCCATAGTGTGAACCAATCTTGTAGTTTAAGCAAATGATGTTGTAGAGTTAGTGAGGCCTGTGTAGGGTCTTGATGTTTTGTGAGGATTGTTGTATCGTCTGCATACATATGCTACATAGCTGTCAAGATCTCATCGTCAATAGGTATATCGTAAGTGTATATAGCGTAAAGTAGAGGGGCTAGTATTGAACCTTGGGGAACTCCGGCCAAGATTGGACGGACTGAAGACACTTCCGAGCTCTGCCGAACTGAAAAAAATCTGTCGAAGAGGAAAGATTGAAGGACAAGACAGTACGTGTATGGAAGTATAGTCTAAACTTACAAAAACATTTGTCGATATTGTGATTTGCGAAAACTGTTAAAAAACTTTCGATCCAGTTAAGGAAATAAAAGGAATGATGTAAATCACCCCAAAGAATATTACCCCAAGCTATAATGACATTAGATGTATAGATTTATTTTTATAGAGATATAAAGAGCTATGCACTGAGCTTCCAATGCAAAGGTCCCAGGTTCGAACCCCGGCTCATGGCTGAAAATTTATTTATCTGTTTCATTGGCCATGGGGCGACCCTGGGTTGGGACACCTTCCTGGGGCACACCCAGCCTCTATAAAGTGGGTACCCTTGACTAAATAATTAATTAAGGAGGAAAACCTGGCGGTTGAGCGTGATCTCGGTCACATCACCTTCTTGCACAACCGTTGACCTAGAAACGCTTTCCCTAAATAGTACTGAACCCCAGACCCTTTATGGGTTGTAGTGGTACAGGTTTTTTTTTTTTTTTTTTTATAAAGAGCTATATATATATATATATATAAAAGATTATAAAAGTTGTTATAATCCCAATATAATAGGAAATTAGTGAGTGAATGTTTACACATGCTGGTGTTTATTTTTATGATTTTGGTATGATGATGAATGAAAATTCATTGTTGAATTTTCAATTTTGATAATTCTGAATTACTTTTTTTTTTATCGTTATATAATATATATTAAAAAATATATTTACTAAATTACTTTATTTGTCTAAAAAATCTTTTATGAATAAGTTTCAGAATAACTGTTTATAGTGAACTTTTATTAAAAAAATTATTTGAACAAGTGTTTTAAACAAACTTCATCAAAATGTTATAATAATGACAAATTTTCAGTTCAATAATTTTATTTTTATTGAAGAAAAATAATGAAATCTGCCACAATTTAGGGCATTGAGTATTATGGTTCTATGTTTACATTCACACATTTTATATACAAATTAAAATATAAAAAAAAAATAAAATAAGAAGAAAACATGTATGTAAAAATGTATACATTCAAATGAGAAAAACAAAAAAAACTTGTAAAAAGAAAAAAATAGTACATCGAAAGAATAGTAAAGAAAGAAAAAAAAAAACTTATCAAACTTTCATTCCTATATACAATATTTACATTCAGTCTAGGAACTTTAACCATGCCTTGCCGATTTCATGTGAAAGGCAAGGCAAAGCTCAAAGAGATCCCAGCGCTTCTCTCCCAACCGTATTACTGTTTATAAGCCAGTGGAGACTGAGTGAGATCATGTAAGATAAAAATAAATTATAAGTTTAACTTAAACTTTTTAAAAATATAAGTTAATTTATTTTTTCGACCCCTGATTCAAACTTTAAAACTGAATGAAAATTAAACAAACAAAAAATTAACTGTTAAACAGATTAATTGCTATAATAAATAAATAAATCAAAGCTGTGAGGGTTAACGCTCAAGAAGCATATTAGTTCAACGAACCTCTGTAACCTTTTAGAATCTGTTCTATCAGACTTATTACTTTCTCTGGCTGTTTCATCCGCATGATTGCATGTTGGCAATTCCAATCTGATGAGGAAACGGGATACTTAAAGATTGTGTTAAGAAATAAATAAAAATGAAATTTCACAATAAATATCAGTATTTCATTCAATAATTTCATGGAATAATTGAGATACGATCGGTAAACATTAATTCCGCAGATAAATTTTTAAAATATCATATATCACTCAGTTCCAATATAATTAAAATAATGGACTGGTCTCAACATTATATAATACAGAAAACCATCTTAAACAATCATGTTCTTACCGAGCCGATTTTTTTAAAAAATAATCACGATGGATATTTTCAAGGAGATATTATAGAATCTGTAATGCTATCTGATAATATTTAGAACTATTTTACTTCATAGACTCTTGTTTATCGATTCTGTAGTACGATGAACTGAGCTTATATTAATTTGTTTTTTATTTTTATTTTTGTCTTCTCAAAGTGTTATTGAACCTAGTACAGAATCTTAAAAAAAAATAATTGGATATCGAATTCCACAAAAATATCAGGGAGTTTAATTCTGATGTTACATTTTTAATTTATTTGTTCAAAAGTATCCGAAATTTTAATAATCGCAGAAGAGTGTAGGTACTGAAATTAATCATAATTATTTTCCACAAGTACATATTCATGAATACCTAGTACATAGCAGTGTCTACACTCACCTATAAGTGTATGATGATTAAAAATCGAGTATTCGAATGAAACTGAATACTGGATTTGTATTCACAATTACATTTTTCACCGAGTATTGTCCAATTCTGTAACATTGTAACATGTGTACTAGTTATCTTGTGTCACATTTGAAATTAAATAATAATTGAAGATCAGTATTTTGTTACCAATTACAGTCTCTAATTGTTAATATTTATATCGTATCTTACATACCGAGAGAAACTTTCAGTGACAATTTTTTAAAATTTATTTATTTAGAATTATAACAATCTGTCTCGTGGACAATAGATTATAGTGATACATGAACACATTCGCACCATATATATAGAAAATATAAAATTAACAAAAGTAAAATAAAAATTAAAAACTATGTACAATAAAGAAAACCTAAAGGTAAGTAAATTAAAAAACATAAAAACACATTCATACCTATATACAATATACACAATTAGGCTGGGAACCCAAAGCCTGGCTTCTCCCTCCAACTTTAGAAGGAAAAGCAGGACTCCAAGTCGGTGACATTTAAAAAAAAAAATGTAATATTTTAAATTGTTAATTTGTAAATTATGTTGTAATTATAGAGCAAACTGCAAAAGCTTGTAAGAACAAAACCTAAAAATTTTCATGAGACGA